CACACACACACACACACACACACACACACACACACACGTCTCCCACTCTCTCTCTCCCTCCCCACCCCCTCTGAGAGGCATACTCTACTGCAGGTGGCTTCCAATTATCTAACTTCTACAGGTGGCTTCTATAATCTAACTCACCTGGGAGGTCTGTTTTGCTTTAAAAACAGATGCCCAGGCCCCACCTCCAGAGCTGCAGACTCTGGTTGGGGACCTGTATTTTCAAGAAGATCCCAGTTTCTAGATCACTGCTCCCAGAAAGAACACACGTCTTGGACACTCAATGACATAGACCTGATGCTCAGCTCAGCCTCTTCCCAGCTGGGTTTCTGTTGCCACCCTGTAGGCAAGTTCTTAAACTCTCTGAGCCTCAGTTTCCCCATCGATACAATAATTATACAGGAGGGTTGTTATAGGAAAGAAATAACATAAATGGAGTATCTAGTGCAGAAAGCTCACTACCTCCCTTCCCTTTTCATCCAGAGTCAGTAAATCTACTTCCCTCCTGACTTTCAATACACAAGGGCACACCTAGGTTCATTCTCTTCATGTTCTCCATTAATTTAACTATGTCATGTTCATTTGTCTAACAGATATTTAACAGAATGTTCCATGTACCAGGCCTGAGCTCCACAACACCATAAAGTTTATCTGCATTCACAAACAAAGTTCTTTTGTTTGCACAACAGCCTATTCTCCGGATGCAAGGAGGTGGTGGAACCCAAGCTTCTATATCGCAAGCCCCGTGAAGGTGGGAACCAGTTCTTACCGTGTTTTGTGATCTTTCCCTCCCCCAGCCCCAGCCCCTAGCAGAGCACCTTACACATACTTGGGGCAGGATAAACATTCAAGTTAAATAAAGAACATTAAAAGAGGTTTCAGGGCACCTAGGTGGCTCAGTCGGGGAAGCATCCAACTCTTGATTTTGGCTCAGGTCACGATCTCACACTTCATGAGACTGAGCCCCATGTTGGGCTCTGTGCTGACAGCGTGGAGCCTGCTTGGGATTCTCTCTCTCTGCCCTTCCCCTGCTCACACACACTCTCTCTCAAAGTAAATAAACTTAAAAAAATTTTTTTTAATGGGGCTTCAATGGGTTCCCACAACCACCCAGGGCAGATCTGCTCCAAGTGCGCACTCCAGAGCAGCAGAAGCAGCCGCACCGAGAACTCTCCAAAATGCAGTTCTGGGGATCCCAGCCCAGACTGCCCAAACCAGAAGCTCTGGAGGCAGAACCACCCTCCAGGGGATTCTGATGGACTTTCAGGTCTGAGAAGCACTGGCCTAGGGAATGAATTCCTATTCCTCAGGTAACAAACCCACAGGAAAACATTCCCAGAGCAATGTTAGGTCCTATTCCTTGGGTACACAATTTCTGAAGTCAGCCTGTGTTTTTCAGGTCTTCTTAGATGCATTTATGGAGACATGGGATTTTATTACAAGAAGAAATCTTATCTTTGGTGGAAGCAGCCGGGGGGTTTCAGGCCATCACAGGAGAGAGGGGACTGCTGAGGTTTATCTGGGGAGAAGTCTGAGATTTGGGGTAAAGTAAGGGTTCCAAGGCTAAAAATTGGGTTTGATCACTGAGTTGGTCGAATCTATCATCTCACAGATGAACAAGCTGGATGCTTAGAGACACAGAGCTGAGACAGCCGGAGCCGTTTCTGCTCCGGACTGGGAGCTTTGCGCTGAGCGACCCCAACTCCTGTTCCTTGTAACTCTAGCCTCATGAACAGCCTCATGAACAGAGAACACTGATATTCATCCACAAAAGAAGGCAACACTAAAACTCTTCTTTGTTTAAACTGATTTTTAAGCGTTTCTCTTAGAAAAGAAAAATACAGAAAACGAGTTTCTAAGACTAGAGGTGATGTTTGGGGGAGTGTTTTCTTTAAAAAACAAAAATGCTTCTTAAGATATACTTTCACTGGGGCGCCTGGGTGGCTCAGTCGGTTGAGCATCCAACTTCAGCTCAGGTTCATGATCTCGTGGTTCGTGAGTTCGAGCCCCGTGTTAGGCTCTGTGCTGACAACTCAGAGCCCGGACCCTGCGTCAGATTCTGTGTCTCCCTCTCTCTCTGCCCCTGCCCCGCTCGTGCTCTCTCTCTGTCTCAAAAAATAAATAAACATTAAAAAAAATTGTTTAAAGATATCCTTTAACCACAGCCAAAATGAATTAATTAATTTAATTTAATAATTTAAATCAAAGATACTTACCCTTCCCTGTTCGACACATTTGGTCAACATAACAATGGCATATACATTTTTCTCCCAAACCATACGCCAAAAATCTTTCAGAGTGTTGGGTAAAGGCCCTTGGGTGGCAATAAATTCTTTCTTGGAATGGTAGCCCTAAAACACGGAAAGTGACAGAAATTCAGCGTCAGAGAAACAAAGAGGAGCCCTGAAGATTTCATCCTTACAAGCCGTGCCATGGGAACGTCCCCCCACTTACAGGCATGTAGTTGGCATTGATGTAGTCGTCAGTTGAATGGGCCTGGACAGAAAGCTTGACACGGGAAATATCATCTATGACATTAAGAGAAAAAAGGTCCCCATTAGAAGCAAATGTTTGAGGAGAATTACATATAAGAGAGAAAAGTACAAAATGGCAACACATTGTGAGGGTGTGCTGCGTGGCACTTTACAGAAAATGAGATGACCTTAATTTGACCCTCACAGTCAGCCTATGTGACCGGCACAGAGAAGTTAGGCAATTACCCGGCAAAGCTAGTAACTGGCAGAACCAGGGTTCGAACTCAGGCAGCCTGACGCTGGGGTGCAAGCTCCTAACCACACCAGACCACCTTCTGAAACAACACAAACCTACTACTATTAACATCCTTGGGTGTGTGCCGTGAGCCAGGGAGTGCACTGAGCAATCTTATTTATTCCTCAAAACCACCCTACCGGCCTGTGTGCCCATTTTACAAACGAGGAAACTGAGGGTCAGGAAGATTAAGTGACTTCTCCCAGCACTGATGTCTGGTCAAGGGCAGTCAGAATTCAACTCTAGTGCCCTTTCCACCATGGCAGGGTAAACACCCAAATTTGCATACTTTATTTCCATAGAAATGTTATTACGACAAGACAGTACCAAATTCCAGAATAAACTGAATGTGTAAGACTATTATAGGCGGAAAGATCTAAAACACAAAAATTCTCATGTTTTCTAAATACTATCATCTCAAAACCACACAAACGTGTCCAACTCAAGAAATGAAATAATAACTTGAGAATTTCAAATGTCAGGCAGAATAATCAGCAGCACCACGTGTTTCCCTGTCTTTGACTATATACCATCTCGTCCTCCTCTTGGACAAAACAATATGACAGTTCCAAGCTCGGTTACCAACATGACTCGTAGTCTAGAACTTTCCCAATAAAAACAGTACCCGAGGGACACCTGGGTAGCTCAGTCGATTACACGTCCGACTTCAGCTCAAGTCATGACCTCGCAGTTCGTGAGTTCCAGCCCCGTGTCGGGCTCTGTGCTGACAGCTCAGAGCCTAGAGCTGCTTCAGATTCTGTGTCTCCCCCTCTCTCTCTGCCGCTCCCCCACTCTCACACTGTCTCTCTTTCTCAAAAAATAAATAATAAACGTTAAAAAAAAATTAAAAAAAAAAAACAAAACAGTACCCGAACTCTGGATCTGAAAACCTCTGCAGCAACTGTAAGATCAGGCCAGTGATCCTGGGTTAACCCTAGAAGGGCAGGATGGGGGCATATCCCACTAGCCTGATTTTCAAAACATTTTTCCTGGAACAAGGTTCAATGCCTGCTGTCAATACAAAGGGGATGGGGGGGGGAGGGGATGGGGGGGGAGGGGGCACAGGGAGGAGATGAAGAGAAAGCACACAAGCTAAAAAATCCTGAATCTAAACAGAACTTAATGTTTTAGGCCAGGAAAGAAAAACACAGCCTCAAATATAAAACGACAATGTCTCTAAATGTCCTGGTGTAAAAAGTATCAGCAGAACCTAGAAATTACGCCTAAATCAGAACACAGCTGCAATCGACTGATACGTCTTTGTACCGTAATTCTCATCCGAAAGAAAGACCGCAAAGGACTTTTCTGTGGAGGAAGGTTCACATTTCATCTGAATGGATGATGTAACAAATAATTCTTATTTTATTTTATTTTATTTTTTTGTTAACGTTTATTTATTTTTTTGGGACAGAGAGAGACAGAGCATGAACGGGGGAGGGGCAGAGAGAGAGGGAGACACAGAATCAGAAACAGGCTCCGGGCTCTGAGCCATCAGCCCAGAGCCCGACGCGGGGCTCGAACTCACGGACCGCGAGATCGTGACCTGGCTGAAGTCGGACGCTTAACCGACTGCGCCACCCAGGCGCCCCAAATAATTCTTATTTTAAACCCAATTTGTCGTTAGCCCCATGCATTCGGCAGATATTGTTAATTCTCAAAATGTGAATCCAGATACAATTCATAATTAGCAGTGGGATGCATTCAGCCAACCAGAGATGTATCCGGACAAGCAGAAAGCATTACTCCCTGCCTGTCCTCCTCTTACCCACTTCCTTTCTAGAACTATGTTAGCTGAAATAAAGGGGCTTTGAGATAGAGGGGATAAGAGCACAGATTCTAACCCTTACCCTGAAAGAAATGACAGACCTAATCCAGAGCCGGGCCTGCCTGCCACGGGCCTCTGTGTGACTTGGGACAAATCACCTAGCTACGCTGTGCCTCGTTTCCTCATCTGCAAAATGAATATGCTACCACCTACCGCATAAGGTTCTCATGAGGCCTGGATGCAAAGGAATATGCCTAAATACAAGGCTAAATTAGCACACCGCAGGTGACTCCTGAATAATTGTGGAGGTGGTTAGTAACTATCTTGACCCCACTTCCCTCCACTGTGAGAGGGGCGATGGCCAGGGACAGACAAAAGGGAAGATCTTGTGGAAAAAACAACTCACACGGCAGAACGTTATTATAGCGATTCTTTCCTCTGTTCTCAGCCAGTTCCGCTGTATATTTAGGTAGACTAATTCCAACAAGCTTCAGATCCTGAAAACAAAACAAATGAGTCGTCCATTTAGTTAGTGTCCAGATATTATTTATACTGAGCATCGCGTAGGACAAAGTGTGAAGGCAGAGGTGTTTTGAGTTAAAGGTATGTTGGAGTTCTAACCCTCAGGACCGGGGAATGCAGCCATATTTGTCATCAAAATAAGATGAGGTCATAGTGGATTAGGGACGGGGAGCCTTAATCCAACAGGACTGACGCCTTTACAGAAGAAGAGGCGCTGAGATAGACACTCAAGGGGAGGCGGCCATGCTGAGGTGAAGGCAGGCACAGGACTTAGGTTGTTACAAGCTGGCTGAAGCCAGGCAGGAGCTTCTTTTAGAGGCTTCGGAGGCACCACAGCCCTAGCAACAGCTTGATTTAGGTCCACTGGCCTCCAGAACTGTGAGAGAAGGATTTGCTGTTGTTCTAGTGCTTTGTGACCACAGCCCTTGGAAACTAATGCAGAGGTTAAAATAAAAGAAAAAGGATAATCCTTGCCTTCCAGGTGCTTACACCCCAGGAGAGAGGCACAGGCAGAAATAACTAACGTCAGGGTGCCTGGGGGTCTCAGTCAGTTAAGCATCTGACTTCGGCCAGGCCATGATCTCGTGGTTCGTGAGTTCCAGCTCCCCATCAGGCTCAGTACTGACAGCTCAGGGCCTGGAGCCTGCTTCTGATTCTGGGTCTCCCTCTCTCTGCCCCTCCCCCCACTCATGCTGTCTCTCTGTCTCTCTCTCTCTCTCTCTCTCCCTCTCAAAAGTAAATAAACATTGGGGCGCCTGGGTGGCTCAGTCGGTTGAGCGTCCGACTTCGGCTCAGGTCACGATCTCGCGGTTCGTGAGTTCCAGCTCCCCATCAGGCTCAGTGCTGACAGCTCAGGGCCTGGAGCCTGCTTCTGATTCTGTGTCTCCCTCTCTCTCTGCCCCTCCCCTGTTCATGCTCTGTCTCTCTCTGTCCCAAAAATAAATAAACGTTAAAAAAAATTTTTTTTTTAAAGTAAATAAACATTAAATTTTTTTTTTAATTTAGAAATAACTGATGTTACAACGAGGCAGAATTAAATAAACACCACATGTCACAGATGAAACAGGTAGAAAGAGAATTTAAGTCCTCCTGGGCTGTGCTTTGAGTTGCACAGTAGGTTCAATGGCAGGCCCAAAAAAGCCAGGCCCCCTTCCTAACTCCTACAACCTGTGGATGTGACCTTATTTTGGAAAAGAGTCTTTGCAGATGTATTTAGGTTGACAACCTTGAGGTGAGATCATCTTGGATTATGTGGGTGGGTCTTAAATCCAATAAGTGTCCTTATACAAAAGACACCCAGAGGGGAACTATGGGGAGGGGGAGGAGGAGACCATAGAGAGTGGAGTGACTGGGCCCTAAGCCACGGAACGCGTGGAGCCACCCGAATCAGAAAAGGCAAGCAAGAGGTTCTCCCCCAGATATTTGGAGGAACCACTGCCTTGCTGACACCTTGACTTTGGACTTACTATAGCCTCCAGAACTGCAAGAGAATAAATTTCTGTTGTTTCAAGCCACCAGTTTGTGGTGATTTGTTATTGCAGCCGCAGGAAACCAATGCAAAGAGGGAGTAGATTCAATAAAGGCAGAGACCACAGCAGGGCAGCCCAGGGAGGGCGAGTGTGCTCGGCCAAGCTGCTGTGGGGGTAGAGCACATGGGGACTGACAGGCAGAAACTCTTTCCGCAGGACTTCACAGAATGCTCCGGAATCAATGTCGGCCACACAGCCATCAAGCCCCAGCCGGGAAATGCCAGCCAGAACAGCTTCCTAATTACCCCAGTTAACAGCCCTCAGACTTGAACTTGAACGCCTAGTTTCTCTACCTTTCGCTCTCTCTCCCTCTCCGCATAATCTTCATTTATCAACAAGATTGAACACACAAACCACTAGAAGCGAGGGTACACCTAAGTGCTTGCAGCCCACAGGGCCACTAGGACCCCTGAGGTCTACCTGACAGAGTTCCTCTCCCCTCTAAGAGGGCCGCCTCTTATCCAGCGCTCCCCCACGCAATAAAAACAAGCGGTTTTCCAACTTGCAGGAGAAACATAAAGCAATTAAGAATACATTATTTACAACCACGTACTTCATATTCTTCTGCAAACCCACAGTTGGAGTCCGCTTGTTGTTTCTTAAAGTAGGCTTCAAAATTCTCCACTTTGATTAACTTGGATCTAAGAAAATAAAAACAGCTTATGAGGACTTTTTTTACATCCAGTGAAGTTCATGCTCAAAACAGAAAAAGACAAGTTATTTAAAAATTAAAGAGGCTACTCACTTTTTAGGTCTTCATCATAGAAAGGGAAAGAAAAGAATAAGAATTAGAAACACCGACTGGATCATGACTCTAGAAATGATAGTAAACGTCTTCCCAAAGGAACAAAAACCAGAGTAAAATGGGGGGAGGGCGTGTCAATAGAATGTTATTTACAAAACAATGAAATGTGTGAATCAGGAAATCTCCCTTCTAGAGCCTGTCACGTAACTGATGGGCTTTGTGACTTTACACAAGGTCTCCTACCTATTGATAACCGGTTTATTTGTTCTCAAAAATCACAAAATATGAGGGGCACCTGGGTGGCTCAGTCGGTTAAGGGTCTGACTCTTGATTTCGGCTCAGGTCATGATCTCAAGGTTGTGAGATAAAGTCCTGGCATCAGGCTCCGCTCTAGGCATGAGCCTGCTTAAGACATTCCCTCCCTCCCTCTCTCTCCCTCTTTCTCTCTCTCTCTTCCTCCCTCCCTTCCTCTCTCTCTGCCCCTCCCCCCACCCTCACTCATGCTCTCAAAAAAACAATAAATCAGAAAATACATATTTATTGGTAGAATATGGAAGTAAGGTTCTACTTTGCCATAGTAGAACACAGCAAGGAAGCAGGCAGCTTCAGGAGACTAATAAACAGAGAGTCCTTGCAGAAAAACAAAGTTAGCAAGAATTCCTGCATGGTCAAGGCCAAATGTGTCAATCAGGAAAAATGACAGCAAGTTCCATCAAAAATTCACGGGGCGCCTGGGTGGCGCAGTCGGTTAAGCGTCCGACTTCAGCCAGGTCACGATCTCGCGGTCCGTGAGTTCGAGCCCCGCGTCGGGCTCTGGGCTGATGGCTCGGAGCCTGGAGCCTGTTTCCGATTCTGTGTCTCCCTCTCTCTGCCCCTCCCCCGTTCATGCTCTGTCTCTCTCTGTCCCAAAAATAATAAATAAACGTTAAAAAAAAAAAAAAAATTCACTAGAGGGGCACCGGGGTGGCTCAGTCGGTTAAGCATCCAACTCCTGGTTTCAAATCAGGTCATGATCTCACAGTTCATGAGTTCAAGCCCCCCCAACATCAGGCTCCTCTCTGACAGCACAGAACCTGCCTGAGATTCTCTATCACTCTTTCTCTGCCCCTCCCCCACTCACCTGCTCTCTCAAAATAAATAAACTTCAAAAAAATTTTTAAACAATAAAAAATAAAGTAAAATAAAAATTCTCAATAACTAACTCCAGAGACTTACTTAATTTGAGAAAAGGATACTTCATTATTCTTTGCTTCTTTCCTGTTTTGAAAGAAACAAAGACCCATTAGACCAAGAAAGTAATTCTGTGTTTTTTCCCCTTCAACGTATCTACAAAAGGACTTTTCCCCGGGCATTAGTTCACATATGGCACTAAATCCCATTCACTAATACTAAGCTTCATGGTCTAAGCAGCAAACACTGATTACAAATCTATGAAGTAACTCTCTTTCATACCATCCAAAAGTATGGAAGAATCTTGCTCGGGCAACTTTTAGGAATATCTTTGGGTAAAAATACATTAGCAGCTGACCCTTTGGTAAAGCCAGACTCATTTTTTCATGCTGTTTCTTGAGAAAGGCCTTTCTGATGAGTTAATGAAATAAATCAGAAAATATAGCCACTGTAGATATGGAGGCGGGGCATCTGGCATTCTCCTGCATTGCTGGCCAAACCCCATACTGGTGTTAAATAATAATAATAATAAAATAAAAAAATAAAAATAACCCTCTGGAGGGCACCCTGGCAGTACGTATCAAAACTGAAAACATGCATCACACCCACTGTCCCACAACTGCCCACCTTGGAATTTAGCCTAAGGAAATAATCAGGAATGTGCTCAAAGATTACTGTGGCAAAAACAAAAAACCAAAGAACAAACCTGAAAACATCAGGAAAATTGGTTGAATAATTTCTGTACAATTGAATACTCCGCAGCCACTTAAAATGAAGATTTAAAGCTGTACACAATGTCTTAAATAATAACGCAGACTAGAAAATAATACACATAATAGGATTCCACTTGTGTGTGAGTTTCACTATCCTATCAACATTCAGAGTCGTTTTGGGCTGTGATTGTGAATCATCCAGTGTCTTTGCTCTTCTGTATTTGTTTTTTTGGGGGGCCACAAGCATGTATAACTTTTATTTTAACAAGAAACAATAAAGCTGCTTTGACCCCTCCCTCAGAAGATGTTTTTTTTTACTCTGCCTGTCAGCCCTACAGGGCAAGATGGCGGCAGAGGGACCGGGCAGAGTTACATCAAGGAACTCTGAGCCAGGATGAAATTCTCCAACTGGCAGCAGTTGACAACCAGAAATGAATCCCAGCTGATACGCAGGCTTCAACGGCCACACGGTTAGACAGGAGACTGAGCAATGAAGTGCAAACACCAAGTTCAAGTTCATTTCCATGCTTCCCACACTCAGCTTGTGCCTCCTTGCAAGGCGGCTTTAAAGACCTTCCTCCTAGAGCCCCGGTGAGTATGAGATTTGACAGAAGACACAAATCCAGGTGCAGAGTGAGCTAGCAAAACAGAGCTGCGATTTTTTTTTTACTATTTAACTACCTCAAAGGGTAGTTGTACAGATAACAATAGTAGCATACAGGGTCCAAGGCACTGTTGAAGCGTTGTATTTATTTTACGCTCCCCCTGTCACAAGTTGGGTCCCGTTATTATCCCTACATCACAGACTATGTGGACATTACAGCGAAGCTCCCTAACCGCTAGTCAGTCAGAGCATGTGTTCAAACTTAGCTAACTCTCGAATGAAATCTCTTGGGGCTCCCGGGCGACTCGGTCGGTTAGGCGTCCGACTCTTGGGTTCGGCTCAGGTTATGATCTCACGGTTCGTGAGTTCAAGCCCCGCATCGGGCTCCGCACTGACAGCATGGAGCCTGCCTGGGATTCTTTCTCTGCCCTTCCTCCACTCTCTCTGTCTCTCAAAATAAATAAACTTAAAAAAATTTTTTTTAATGAAATCTCTTAACACCTCAACACTGACTTGTGGACCAGAGGGCACTGTTCGAAAGGAGCACTGCACACTGCAGCGTTTGCCCCGACCTGATGCCATAGGGGCTGAGACGAAGTACAACTGGCCGGATAGTGAAGAGCCTGGGTGACGGGGACATGGGAACTCGTAACACGAGTCCTTCCAACTGTGAGAATGTCTGAAATTTTCCAGAGTAAAAAGCTCCTTTAAAAACTAGGGTATTAGGGGCGCCTGGGTGGCGCAGTCGGTTAAGCGTCCGACTTCAGCCAGGTCACGATCTC